ATGATGTTTCGAATTCGTGACTGTAAAAGGCGCATACTATCCCTCTATTATCAAAAAAATTCCAGTGATCTTTTCTGCCCACCAGGTCACAAAAACATTCGTGCTGAACTCGAAAGTGCTTGGCCTAATGATTTACCTACAGCAATAAAGGGACATCGCGAATGGGATAAAAATATTATTTCATATAAACTTGATCAATCATCTGCTGTAATATCATTTCTTGAGGTTGAGCATCGAAAACGCCTTTCCGCAAGAAATTTCATTGAAATATCATGTAGTCTTATTGCCAGTACAGGCGCTTCTCTTCAACTAATAAAAATGGATGAGAGCCGAGGAGTTATAGGGAATCGTAAAAAAGTTCGCAATGAGATTAGGTTTGAAACATTAGTTATCAAGAATACAGATTTTAACGCAGTTGCTACTTCCCGGAATCTTAGTCCTGAAGAAGCTGAAGTCCTTAAATTTGATCAAGAGCGTTCTATCGCAGATACTATGGCACTTAAACGTTTTTATATGCGGAATCTTTATTGCAAAGACATGAGTATCGAGGATTGGAATATTATTTGCAATAGAAAATTCATTGAGAATTTTAGTTCGCCTGAAGCTCGGAAGCATTTCTTACGATTGTCTTATTTTCGAAGACAAGGTCATAATGAGGAGAGCGCAATGAAGGGATTGAAAGCTGAAGAAAATGTACAATGGGAAATTGCCTGCTATAGAGCCAAAGAGAATCTGGAAAAATCAGTGGCAGAAGACTTGCGTAAATCTTATTCAGCAAACCATTGGAAGGCTATAAGAGAACTCTTTCAAATATTAGGCTTTACTGGCATTGATGACAGGCGTACTCTTTCTGGTGATATTGTATCAGAAGCATTCGTGCAATCCTGTGAAAAGTTTATAGAAATCCGTAATCAATCCTTATTGCTCTTTGGTTTTAAGTCTCATGCTAAGACAACACCAGATCTTAATTTGGCTATAAAGGCAATCAATGCAATTGCTGGTAATTGGTGTGGCTATACTATTAAAAGTGATAAAAAAAGAATAGGGCCTAAGGGACAACAAGTTTGGCAATACTCATACCAAATTAATTGCCAGCCATATAATGGTATTGGTTTTGGAGATAAAGGCGCTCCAGAACTTCCATCATACAGGCCGAAAACAGATAATGATATTCAGGAACTCTTTGACTTTATAGGATAGGAAAAATAATAATTTGGCCATATTATTATTCAGCTAGGTGTCTCGATCATATCTGATTCCATTTTATTTTTTTTACTTTCGCGTCAGGCACAGTCATAAGGTCCACTATGTGTGCTACAAATTCCAGTATCGGAATAGGTTCCCTGCTTACAGACAGGACATATTGTTCTAGGAAGGGCATTAAAATGTCTGGAACATCCT